AAAATGACATTTATTGGGAGGTGACTTCTCCAAAAATATTTTTTCTAACGGCATGCAGCTGTGATGGGTTGTGTACAAGCTAATAGGGTGTCAGAATGGTATTTATACTTCTCATCCAACCACAATTAATTTCACTCTATCCAGGAGACACAATTTATAAGGATAGTATTTTAAGTAATAACTTGGAATAAAATAACCACTTTCTACTTCTTAACTTTTTTAAAATGCAGTGAGTATAAAGTACAGATAATTGTGTAAAAATGTAACTAGTAAAAGTAAAAAGTACGCTGAAAAATATTACTCAAGTAAAGTACAGATAACCAAAATTTCTACTTAAGTACAGTAACAAATTATTTGTACTTAGTTACTTTATAACTCTGCTTCCTGGCAATAAACCTTACACAGTTTGAAAACCTATTTCCCTTTAAATGGTGCCACATTTGTTAGAAAAAAAGGCATTTATGGGTAAAACTGTGAGTTACGCCCATGAGAAACTTGCCAAATCTCTGCCAAACAGCTTATTTTGATTCTCATTTGGTGTTATTGAAGTCTAAAGAAATGCAACATATCAGCAATTTATTAATTTAAAACGCACAAGCCATAGGGGTATGTGGAAGAACCATATACAGCCACCGCAGCCTGGCAGTCATGCTGCTCAGACCATTACATCCTCTCCACTGACAAATTTTAGAGGTAGCTAGCCTTTTTCCTGTTTTTAGCTTTATTACTCCGTCCAACTTTTAGATAGTAATCTCTCTGTGTGGTGGTGGGGGTATGTTRTTTTGATAATTTTAAATTTTAGCTAGTGTTTTCTTTTTTGTTTGTTTCGATTAGTTTTTAGTAGTCTGTTTCTTTAAGCTGTGTAGCTTTTAGCTATTGTGTTTCTTATAACTTTAACAATTCCGTTTTAGCKTCCGCAACAAATCCCAGCTTCAGAACTCAGCATTCACACTGTGTTTTCACACGCAACAAAAGCAATGTCTCTAATTTGCTTTGATCTTTTACATTTGACTTTGTTTTTCTTTTTTATGTCAGAAGCTGCAGGTTTTTCTTTATTGTTGCTGTGTTTTTCCCACCTTTTTTCTCTCCTTATGTTTTGTGAAATGCTGTGCTGTGTTTTAAAGTTAGGTTTATAAACTCATCCATGGCCGCGACCTTCATCCCCGCTACAGGCGGGTGTAATTATTTGTAATTTCCCTTTAATTTCTGAGAAACTGTTTCGTGCGGTGACTGAGCGCTGTCCAAGGTGCTGCAGCGACGCGCGGCCCCGCCCATTCTCTCTCTCTCTCTCTCTCTCTCTCTCTCTCTCTCTCTCTCTCTCTCTCTCTCTCTCTCTCTCTCT